GAACGATTCAGAACCTTGAAGACATGTTGAGATCTTGTATATGACTTCGGGAGATCTTGGGAAAATCATCTGCCTCTGATCGAATTTGCTTACAACAACAGTTACCATTCCAGTATTCAAGCGGTACCGTATGAGGTTTTGTATGGTCGAAAATGTAGAACGTCGTTGTATTGGAATGAAGTGAGGGAGAAGCAAATGGTTGGTCCAGAAATCGTTCAAATAACTTCTGAAAAGATAGATCAGATATGAGAATGAACTAAAACAACTTGGGACCGAAAAAAAGTTACGCCGACAAACGCCACAAACCGATTGAATTCCTGGTAGGAGATTTCGTGATGTTAAAGGTTTCTCTGTGGAAGGGTATTGTTCGATTCGGGAAAATAGGTAAGCTCGGTCCGAGGTACATTGGGCTATTCATAATTGGTAAGCGGGTTGGTTCAATAGCATATCAGTTGGAGTTGCCTGAGGAACTCAATGTTATTCATAACACTTTCATGTCTCTAACCTGCAAAATTGTTTAGCCAATCTGAATTTGGCAATACTACTACCTGAGTTACAAGTTTATGGTAAATTGAATTTTGTGGAAACCCCTGAGGTCGTCACTGACCGAAAGACAAAGATTTTAAGGAATAAAGAAATCAGTCTCATGAAAGTATAGTGGCGTTTTCATAAGGGTCAAAAAGCTACTTGAGAGCTAGAATCATAAATGAGATCAAAGTATCCTCAATTGTTTTATTGAATGAATTATGGGACAAAATTCTTTTGAGGGGAGGATAATGTGATAACCGGTTATTCAGTTATAAAGTTTGGGGTTGTTTTTGAAATGGTGTTGGTATGTTGAGGGGTTAAATATGTTGATGTGTTTAATTCCTCTTAAAAATTCCACCGCCTCTTATATTTTTACTATTATTAGGAGATAATTATATTATCTCATTGTGATGGATTTAAAAAGGGGAATAAGGAAAGTTGGTAAACTTCTGGGTGTTTTGAAAATTTGCATCACAAGTCCGGCACAAGCAGAGGATAAAGGGGTCCGGCACAACTAGAGGATAAAGGGAAAGCAAATTGTGAAGAGTTATAATTGTTTGCCTAGGATGTTAGGATAACATGTTATCAGTTGTATTTGAATACTTGTTATATATATAAGTTTTGTATAGGAATTTTGTGGAAAAATTTGGTAGCTACCTAGTAATGTAGCTTTTGTAATTAATTAGTACAGTTGTGTAAAATTATATTTCTTGATATAAAAAAATATATGTTTATATGCAAATGTGATCTTCGAGTGTTACATTACATAATGTTAAAAGTAATGATGGGATTTTGGATTTTGGATTTTAGAGGTAAACCAAAGGATTTTGTTAATTAGAATCACATTTTGATTTAGAGATTTGGACTTTAAGACCAGATGGTCTATATATTGCTTTGTGATTATGTTTATTACAAAATGTTATCTAATTCGTATACGATGCAATAGTTTGTTATCTAATTCATAATTTGTGCTATTAGTTAGTTGAGTTGCAAATTGTTAGGCAAACATTAGGCTTGATTTTATTAATTTGTAGTTGTGTTGCAAATTGTTGGGCAAACATTAGGCTTGATTATATTAATTTGTAGTTGGGTTGCCAATTGTTAGGCATATATTAGGCTTGATTGCTTGGAAATATTCATTTTATCACCATTATGCCACCAAAGTTTTAGAAAACATAGGTTTGTGTTTTAAACTCATTTACAGTTTCGAAGTCATATGAAACTCCTATAAACCTATAGTTTGACTTTCAAGTAGTCAAAACTTTACGTTTAGACTTTTCAACTCATTCAAAAGACATCTAACTTCATTCATACATACGGTTTGACTTTCAAGTAGTCAAATCTTACACTTATAGTTTTAGAGTCATACAAAACTCCTCTAAACCTACGGTTTGACTTTCCAGTAGTCAAAACTTTACATTTAAGCTTTTTACCTCATTCAAAAGACCTTCAACTTCATTCATACATACAATTTGACTTTCAAGTAGTCAAACATTTACACTTAGAGTTTTAAAGTCATCCAAAACTCCTGAAAATCTAGGATTTGACTTTCAAGTAGTCAAAACATTACACATAGTCTTCTCAACTGCTTCAAAAGACCTCCAACTTCATTCACATCTACGTTTTAACTTTCAAGTAGTTAAACCATTACATGTAGGCTTTTCAACTCGTTCAAAAAACCTTCAACTTCATTCACACATATAGTTTGATTTTCAAGTAGTCAAACCATTACACTTAGACTTTTAAAGTCATCCAAAACTCTCTAAACCTACGGTTTGACTTTCAAGTAGTCAAAACTTATACATGTAGGATTTTCAGGTCATTCAAAAGACCTCCAACTTCTTTCACACATACGGACTGACTTTCAAGTAATCAAACATTTACACTTAAAGTTTCAAAGGCATACAAAACTCCTATAAACCTAACTAATGGGTTGAAGACCATATCAGCAGGTCTTCCATCTTGCAAATAAGGCATATCTTGTCTAGGCAAAAAATTTGGCAGTTTTGTTTCAAATAGTCAAATCATCACATGTAAGATTTTCAAGTGATTCAAAACACTTTCAACTTCATTTATACCTACGATTTGACTTTCAAGTAGTCAAACCTTCATACTTAGAGTTTCAAAGTCATACAAAACTCCTCTAAATCTACAGTTTAACTTTCAAGTAGTTAAAACTTTACATGTAGGCTTATCAACTCATTCAAAAGACCTCGAACTTCATTTACATCTATGGTTTAACTTTCAAGTAGTCAAACCATTACACATAAGCTTTTTAACTCGTTCAAAAAACCTCCAACTTCATTCACACATACGGTTTGATTTTCAAGTAGTCAAACCATTACACTTAGAGTTTTACAGCCATCCAAAACTCTCTAAACCTATGGTTTGATTTTCATGTAGTCAAAACTTATACATGTAGGCTTTTCAAGTCATTCAAAAGCTATACAACTTTATTCACACATATGGGTTGACTTTAAAGTAGTCAAACATTTACACTTAGAGTTTCAAAGTCATATAAAACTCCTCTAAACCTACGTTTGACTTTCAAATATTCAAATTACTAGATGTAGGGTTTTCAATTGATTCAAAAGACCTCGAACTTCATTCACACCTACGGTTTGACTTTCAAGTAGTCAAACCTTTACACTTAGAGTTTTAAAGTCATACAGAACTCCTCTAAACCTACGGTTTGACTTTCAAGTAGTCAAAACTTTACATATAGGTTTTTCAGCTCATTCATAACACCTGAAACTTCATTTACACCTACGGTTTGACNTTCAAGTAGTCAAAACTTTACATATAGGTTTTTCAGCTCATTCATAACACCTGAAACTTCATTTACACCTACGGTTTGACTTTCAAGTAGTCAAACATTTACACTTATAGTTTTAAAGTCATATAAAACTTCTCTAAACCTATCACTATATTTGTTTCTTATACTAAAATGGTACTACCACTGGAAAAAAATTTGTAGGTTTGTCTCTCTTGGTATGTGCCAACTCTTTGTACTAAAAAGTCAAATGCTTTACGGGCTAGAGGATGTTTGTACTCCCGCTCTATCCTCTTGACCAAGGCCGACCTACTCATAGAGTAGGAGGTGCACGGGCACTCGCTCAATCGTCGTGTCATAATGGAATTTTTTACCGGTCATAACTGTGCGTCCGTTTAATTTTGATGTGTGCTCTTATATATTTTTAAAACAGAACTTAAAATAGGAGAATGAGGTCATTTTAATGGTTGAGGCTCTACTTGTCTTCCTTAAGATCATGGGTTCAAATCTTTTTGACAACAATTTCTAGTATTTTATGTTTAAAAAAAGGCAAAGAAATATGCAACAAAAGAATTGAACTCAGAGAACTCAATCATAAATTAACAAAATCTTACCAATCAACTACAACTATTTTTCATGTATAATTATCTCAATCTTGCTTTTATTTTTTTTATTTTTTTTATTTTTTTAGTATTTATCTTCCTATTTACCCATTAATCTTAATTTTTTTTTATCGTTCTAATGACAATACATGTTTATCTGAAACAAGATGTAGTGTTTCGTCTTGCTCAAAAAGTATGAGTTGTTAAGATGTAGTGTTTGGTCTTACTCAAAAAGTCAAGGATGGTTTCATTTGTAAAAATGTATTGTATCAAATCGACACAATTGAATTTTCCTTTGGTCAAACCGTGTTAACTTTTCCTTGGGTTAAACCGTGTTAACTTTTCCTTGGGTTGAACCGTGACTTTGTTAGCGTTTCATTGACCTTAAAAAGATGCACCTGCTCAGAATCCTGGGTCTACCACTGGTCTTGCCTTGTGAAAGAAAAAGAATTAGTGTTTTTTTAAAGTTTATCCATTTTAATTTGATATTAAACATTCTTTAGGGAACCACACTTTTATTTTTTAAATTATATAATATTTATATGTCATATTTGATAAAACTTGCCAAAGAATTGATGAAATAAGGAGTGTGAAACCTTTGTTTGTTGTAAGTTTAGTTATTGAAAGAATCTATGAAGAAGAAAGGTGCATGTATGATGGATTCCCCCATAACATAAATCCAATACTAGAACCAATTCAATGCCACAAGAAGATGAAGGAGACAAAAAACTGACAGTAACAGAACAACAGGTAGGCTACCATTGATGGTACTCTATGCTGTTATGACTTGTACAACATGGGGTGTTAGACAAAATATTGATTGCTACATCTCACATGTCTCACTTCTCCACCCATGTGCAACCTCAAACACCACTTTCCTATCTATACATAATGACAAGATTAGTGTTTTAATCATCATCATTATACGACAACATATTTTCTATACTCTAGAAAAAAAAAATACAAATCTTCACTAAAAAAAGAAATCTTAAATTAAAGAAATATATATATATATATATATATATATTATATGATAACATTAGGCTAAGTTCATTTAGATTTCTAACAATGAGTATAAAGTATATAAACATAAAGGAAGGATCTAATGTTCATTGTTTTCTTTTAAGCAAACAAAATCAAGATTTACATGCAATTGCCAAGTGATCAAATTACAGATGAATTAAGAATGCCAAATTCCCCTAATCATGCTTCGGAACCGATTCGACGATAAGTTCCTAATAATTTTTTTAGCATCTAAAACTTGATCATCTGCAAGTTTTTCTATGTTTTTCAAGTACACAGAGCTTATAATTTTCTTTCGACCATCGTTACACAAGGTTAATGACATGATTATGGAAAGTAAATGCTTTCTGTTACCTGAATTACTGCCTTCATTTGGATCCATCAATTGCAGAAGGAAGTTGACATTTTGATCATTTTGCACGAACCTTTTTTGGTTTCTGGGCACAACCAACAAGTTTGAAAGAGTTTCTGCTGCAATCTCTCGTGCTTCGAATGATTTTGCATCGAGGAATTTTACGATTTCTGGCATGAATCCTGCATCACCCATTGCTTTCTTCAACTCATCTGAAGTCCCACTTAGCCAAGATGCAGCCCTCAAGGCTGATTCTTGGATCGGAACCTCGCCATCGTGAAGAAAATGGAGTATGTGATCCATAAAACTGTAGGTTTTTAAACTGTTCATGCATCCAATTGAATCTGAACATAAACTCATGAGCGCCCTCATGGATTTCTCTCGGGCTTTGGATGAATATGAAGACTTTGGATCAAGAACGCGAACAAGAACACGAATCCCACCTTCTTTCACGATCAAACCCCTCACAAATTCGTTCCCAGAAGCCATAACTTGAATGAAATCAATGGCACTTATTTGTGAAGCCTCGTTTTTGGACCTAACAAGCTTGATGGACATTGGTATTGCCCCTTCTTCGACCACAAATCTCTTTATTTCATCAACGCCGATTAGATTTCGCAAAACCCCACAAGCCAAACCAACCAATTCACCACCAAGATCATCACAACCACTCCCACAAATCTTTAATAATGCAGACGCCCCACCATGAGCAGAAACCGACCAGGCGTTATCAGAATTGGCTGTGACTTTCATCAAACACCTGGTGGCCAGTTCTTTACCCAAATCACTACCAGTCTCTAACATTCTAATCAGTGGGGCAACAACACCAATTCCGACTAAAACACTCTTATATGCATCAAACCCACAAATTATAGCAACATTTTTTAATGCCTCTTCTTGAATCCCAGCTTCTTTTGAATTCAAAAATTTCAGCAAAACATGAACAAGACCATCAATTTCCATTGCAATCTTTACATACCTCTCGTCTTCTTGAATCACTTCGGTGAAGCTAACAAGAGCTTGTTTCTTCATCTCAATGCGACCAATCTTGAATCTGCATAACAAATCTTTAACATAAAACTTGATGTCGTCTCGAGATGCTGCGGGTCCAGGTCTTGATACTACAATTGCGTAATTACCGTTTAACAAAAACCCATCTGAGTTAACCAATTCAGACAAAGACTTTACGTTATTGTCGAATTTCACAAAGATTATATCAAGATCACTCTGCATTAATAGCTTCCCGCTGTAGGAATGTTCAATACATTTCTGAGCCAAACTGTTGGAATAATCTGTTGTTTCTTCAATGGACTGAATGATGCCGGAAAGAGTTGGGTTGTCGGCGGAAGCTTGAATTTCCGGAGGGAGAGAGGCGAGGATGGATAGAATCTCGTCTACCTTGTTTCTTATCAGTTTCCATTTTGAAGAGAAGACTTTGATTGACTGAGAAAGGAAGATTAAAGAAGAGAGCTGATCAGTGGCATGCCGGAGCCTTAAATTTCCGGTATTTGTTCCGGCGATGTCGGCTTTCTCTTCCACCATGTCGGTGTTGCATTAATTTTGGAACAAACCCATTTTCCTGCTGAATTTCCGGCGAAATGGGTGGTTGGATTCCGGTGAGTTGTTGGCGGATTCTCAAGTTGAATTAATGACTAAACGAGAGCGATACATATCCGATGATCTTATCCGGTGTGTATGTAACAGAAGTGAGGTAGCATGTAAATTTACTAAATTACCCTTGGGGGTTTACGATACATAGGTGTTGGGGGTTTCGGAAATACGTATTTTTTTTAACATACTTGCACAGTGCAGTAAGATACATCTTAATTTTAATGTTTCGATTTATTTTGTCAACGTCGATATTATAATACGATTTTATGTGACAATGAAAACGATAATATTTTTATTTTTTAAATAAAATATAAATTTGAAGGTATTATAAAATTTTGAAAGAAATGTATCAATTTTAATATTAAATCAAATATTTAAAAGTTTTTTTTCCCGATTTTCTTAATTCAATTTTTTATTATAATTTAATTTAAATTTAAAATAAAGTCATTTATTTTTAGTTTAATAATATAATTTTTTTATAGAGATAATAATTAAGTATTTTGTTAAAACTCAATGATTATCCTAATTTTATTTTAGATTTTTTATATTTAAGATAAGATGTTTATCTTCTATTTGATTATATTTATTGCCAATTAGTTACACGAACTCAAATATGAATCTTTAATAAGTTGTACTTATACACAACTTACTTGTAATCTTGAATTTTAAGTAATATGCATCAATAAACAGTATTTCATGCATAAAAACGGTTTTTAAAAATTTTTGTCAAATACTTTATAATATAGTATAGATATATCTGAAAAAGTATCTAAAATATCTTGTCTTATTTTTTTAATGAATCTTAAATATTACCATTCTCCATTCTAATTTCGTGAGAAACCGAGAAAATACAACTTTCACGCTGTATAATATAAGCGAATACTCAATACAAACCCCATATATATTACAAACACATGAAGGCCGATTCAAATCATTAAATAAGTTTTGATTCTAAATTACGATTAATTTGTTTAATATGTTTCCTTTTTGGGTCTTGACGTAGTAAGAAGTCCAGAATAGTCGATAAACGTTTAAATCCTTAGACAATTAAGAATTACGAACAGTAAAACTCAAGATAAACTCTCAAAGAGAAGAACTTGATTAATTGATAATCTAAAAAATAATGAAAACAATAATCCCTATTTATAGTTCAAACTAGCTCGAACATAACTATTCTAACTAAATTCAAACCAATTTTAATCCAAATGTGAAACTATTGAAGTAAATAAAGATAAAGGTAAAAAAGCGAATGGGATAGTAGCTGAGATCAACAGTGGACCTGCCTAGAGGGCGCGAGTGATTTTGTCCTGTGTGTTTAGTCGCGTGGCTACCCATGGTAGCTACTGTTTCGACTCTCGGTTCCAGTGTACGACGTGACTACGAATTTAGTCATGTGGCTCTTTGTTTGTGCCTTTTTATGATTTTGAGTTGGTCCTCAATCGTGTTTGTGAGTCTCTTTATATGAAGTGTGTATAAATGTATGGTGTGTTTTTTATATATAGATGTATTTTCGTAATTTTTTTCACACGCAAAACAACCTTGAACTTTTCATATTTAAAATAACACCGCATATGCACATGTGTTGTTCATATATGAAACAACACACTAAAACCAGTTTGTATTTGATTTGCACTCATATAATGTAATCTTATTTTCAAATGTATAAATATAACATTGTACTGTATGAAGGTAACCGAATGCAACAACCTTCAGACAGTATAATGTAATTACATATATGTTTTAAGGTCATATAAATTTTACAATCTTTACAAAATATAACATAACACTTATACAAATATATTATTCTATTGATATTGAATTTGGTAATCCACATTGATGAGAAAACGATAAATTGAAATGACGTGAGTATATGATTTTTTGTTTTTTCGCCCACACTCTAAACGGAATACATTCGTATTTTATTATAAGTAAATCAACAAATCACTTTCATTTTAATTTTGTTATATAATTTTTTAAATAAACCAAATTGGTCACTGTGTGGAAAAGACTAGTATAATTAAAACTGAAATGTGAAAATAGAAACAAATAGATCAGAATATTGACGGTTGCCATAATTAAAAGTGAGAATCAAAGTCACCTTTAAATTTGGAGTTTACCTCCTAATAATGCAACATGTCATTTTCTATCTATTTCTATGGTATGATCAGAATTTATGATTTATGTTTTTATATTTATATTTATGTTTATATATTCTTTTATTGTATGCAGTATTAGACTTTTTATTTGATAAGGAAATCAGAAAAAATGAAACTTTTTTTTTTTTTGTATTTTTCAAATAATAAGATATGAAAAAAATAGAAATTTCGATTTTAAAAAAATGGTTAATAATTATTTAATTTAGCCAATTGGTGTTGATGAAAATGATTGAGTAAATGGCTTTTGACGGGTGTAACAACCATTTAAACCTATATTATATGTAAAAGACTTGATGGGTGTTTTGAATTTAAAGTTATGGTTTTCAAATTATAATATGTTTCTTTTTTATTTAAGTATTTAGATAAAACTTTGATTATTGGTAATCTTAACTGGCTTATGTGGAATCCGTCTCCAAAAACACCAATATGCGGGCATTTTTGATTCACTTTTGGTGGTTGATGCTAGTTGAAGGGAGGCTTGAGATTGAACCTGTAATATATCTTGTATTTCAACAAAGTTATCTAACCTTTTTATCAACTGAGTTAGATATCAGAGACATTTTATTCAAATGTTGTAATATAAACACTTTTCATTCAAGTGTTATATTGCAACCTTATATTTTATTTATTTTGTCATTAACTAGGAAAATAGAGATCATAATTGATATGGCCATAAAAGAAAACGAAGGTTTCTTATGTTGTGTGGGTATGAAGTTTTGAAAATTAATTCTAAAAAGAAGTGCATAAGTTTTTCTACAGATACATCTGAGTACGGGTGTAAATGGTGTAAATCGAGCTCAAATGTTGGTATATTCGACTCGAACTTGATAGACGTTTCCCAAATTCGAACTCAATAGACGTTTCCCACATTCGAACTCGATTGGAAAACTCATGAGTAATTAAAAACCAAATTTGACTCGAACTCAATTGTAATTTTTTAAATTCGAAACCGGTCCTTGAATATATGAAACTTTAGTGTTTTCTTAGTTTTTCTCATATAAATTATAAAAGTTAAAGGTTCACTTCAAATTTATAAACTCAATGATGAACCTCAAATTTCATATCAAAATGACAAAAGTTACAAACTTCAATCACATTCCTATTTAAATATAACACCTTTTCATCCTTACTTTAGTATTTCTTTTCTAGTAATAGGACAATTTCATCAATACTTTTTTTTAATAAAAATAATTTTTATAGTAAAAAAAATTTATAATTTTATTTAAATATCTAAAAGTATACCATATTTTTTATTGCTACAATTATTATAAATTTTACATTAAATTTTATTATCAAACCGATTACATATAAACAATCGAGTTTGTCAGAAGTTTTTTGAATCAAGTATTGGATAGCTAGACTCGATTTGTTAGTATGTCGAGTCGAGCTTGAGTTCGAGCCAAGTCTATTCAAGTAGATTGTTAGTCGAGTTTTGACCAAGTCGATCTCAAGTTGTCTCGTATCGTTTACACCCATAGACCTGAGTTAAATAAAATAACAAGAATATTTCTAGTTTCATAATCCCTGCAGAGAAGGTTCACTAATAGACCTACGGAGAAGTAATTCGACTCATTTATATTCAGATCATGAATGTTTGGAATCCATATTATGTAAGAAAACATTGCTTTTGCTACCAGAAGTGTTTTAAGTTGTTAGATTTCACTTAACTAAACAAGAAATGATAAAATCGAAACAACGCTAAGACTTGTGCATAACACAATTTCGTTAAAACAGTTGTACCTCAAATTGTGTGCTTGTTTTTTAAGATACCATGGATGTAATCATGTGAACTATCCAGACTACACTTTTAAAGAGATCGAACTTATAGCATTCATGATGGAAGTTTTTGTTGGGACTTTTATTGTGAGATAAAGGGTATTATGTAGTCATAAATTTTTATTAAAACTTAGATATTTGAACAAGAACTCATTATTATTATTTTTTATTGTTTCTTAACCATTTTAGTTTCTTTTAATAAATCTATAATATATAAGTTAAAATTTATACATGTTATAATCGGGTTTACAGACAACCTGAGTCGAGGTAACCTTTATGTGATTATTATGTGAAATACGTGATTGACATGCATGTTATTTAACTAAATGCATGAATAGTATGCATATAAGCTTCCTTTGATCGTTGAATGCTGGAATAACTTGAAGGTCTCTTCAGCATTAGCTGAGGCTTGGGCAGTCTCACACATATGTAGACAAGGTTGTAATCACTGAATACCACTTCAGATCATGTACTCGCCAGTCTCTAATCTTCAGTTTCAGTCTTCGACTTTCGCTGAACGTTCTTTGGTATGAGTTTTGTCTTCTTGAAGAATCGTTGTCGCTGATTGGATTTACATTACAAGTTCTCCAGCGATCACTGAACAGACTCAGTGAAGATCGCTGGAACTGAAAACAGAAACATAAATACTTCGTATAAGATAAATAGATTATCATCAAATCAATGAGAGAGAAAATCAACAAATTAATTTTCAACAAATTAATTTTCAGCACTTCTCACCATAACTTTCCGTCTCAACGGAACCCAATCCATTTTTCAAAGGTGAAGGATTGTGTGAGAAAAAAGTTAAGGTATGAAATATAAGAAGAGATTTGAATTCTTGATCACTTTTAATCTAATGCTCACCTATGAATTGTGCTTTATAAGAGAATTGATTCGGTGAATCTTATTAGTGTTGACAATCAATTAAGATTGATCAATAGGTGAAATTTTTTTTTTACGCTTCTTGCGATAACTTCATTTCTCACCAGAACTTAAACCTATTTCAAATACTTATATATATATATATATATATATGTGTGTGTATCATATAAAATTAATTAATAAATCGTAAATTAATAATTGTAAAATATTTTTTTTATTTTT